CGGTCTATTGTCCTCATCTTTGTCGCCATGTTTATTACATCGTTTATGCGTCCTCAAGGACACATGGCACAGTGGATAAAGGTGTTAGTGAGATCCAGTGACAAGACCCAAAAGACTATGAGTTCAATAGGCGGTGCAAAACTTTTAGAGGGAAATTAACAGGAGATAACTGATAACTGACATCCTTTAGACATGGCACGTGGAACTAGAACAGTCTACCCCAGTAAGCGGAAAAAAGGTTCAGTTCGACATTCCAACCACCTGAAGAAGGCCGGAGCGTACAGCAGCCGAAACGTTGTAATAAACATGGCGACAAAGATGCGGACAATAGTCCGAATAATGTAAATAATGTACATAATACCTCATCTCAGAAATATAGACAGATACTGATTTATATGTATATAAATTTGTTGTTTCACTTTACAATTTAATTTTCTTGTTTTATACCCCTCTTATGGTGGACTAACTAACAAGGTCGAATCAAACTAATCTATTTCAACACTTATACACTTCACTATAACTGATAACTCGCTATAGACTTTTTAGGTAAGTTTGAACTTTGGGCCAATCATTTGGTCCCAAGTGTACAAGCTTCTAAATGAAGGCTCTTTATTTGTTAGACTGACCAGCATTATTTGTAGACTTATTTGCAGTTATTTTTGCACGGGAAGTGCCTGTCATGTAACCTTCTACTTGCCTTGCTTTTGAAAATGTTTCTATTATATTTTACATCGATAATTTCCCTTTTCTTTTTTTTCAGAAATCACATTTTCTTGATTATGCTGGATGGCTTTCTTGACAGTTAACACATTTCATCACGGCATTCTTCTTCAGCATGGTCTGAATCCCTTTGGCCACATTTTCGACATATTAGACAACTAGCTATCCCTAGTGTGATAAGAATACCCGATTACCTCCCCTTGTCTTATGAGTTGTACAAATAAATCATGCCAACTGAGCCAAAAAGGAAAAACTCTTCAGTTACGTTCAATAAAATTTTAATGACTTTACAGTTTATTGAATGTAATTATGGAAAATTCTTTAAACCAGAAAGTCTCGACTTGGACTCTGCAGACCCGTCTCCTAATGACGCCTGGCAATATTGGAAAAACTTATTCAAAGGATTCTTGCTGGCACCTCTGATACGGACAGACTTAATCTGCTAATGCATCACGTTTCCTTGTCTGTATATACCAATATTTCTCACTGTAAAACTTATCAGAGTGCCATGGACGTTTTGGGTGGAACTTTTGTGAAGAAACGAAACATAATCTTTGTCCGGCATGTATTAGCAATTACCCGCCAATCCCCTGAAGAGTGGTTAGAACAGTATTTTCATAAGTCAAGACAGTGACTTTCAAGTGACGACAAAAGATTAAGCAAAGGATGAATTTATCAGAGACTCCTTTATAAATGGATTAGAATCGAACTATATTTGTCAAAGATTGCTGGAAAATAAACAACTAGATTTTAGCTACTGTAAGCGAGCGTGTAGGCACTTAACTTGGAGATGGCAAAAATGCAATCTTGTTCATACCTACAAACAAGTGTTGCAGGGACAGCACTAAGTACTCAAAACTACTACTAGTCCACCAATTTCAAAAAACCTAAACAGGGGAAAAAAAGACAATCCTGTATGACAGATTTCCTCATTTCTGCGCCCTCCCCTCCGTCAGTTCAAAATCTCTTTTCTCCGGAAGACACTGCTAGTGCTGCGACCAGACGAAAATGTTATTTTTGTGGTCTTAAATTACACCCCAGGTCGTGTTGCCCAGCCAGGGAAACTAAATACCACAAATGCGGGGAAAAGGGACATTTCTCTAAGGCTTGTCGACCAATTTTTTTTTCCACCTGGTTTGAATGCTTCTATTGCGACTAGTATCGTATCAACTGCAAACTCTAAATGTCTTTCAAAGGCTATATTAATGGTAAAAATAAACGGAATAAAAATGAATGCTCTAGTAGATACAGGAAGCCCAGAGGGTTTTATTAGCGCTTATATTTAAAAAAGGAACAGATTTAAAATTGTGCATTGTAATAGTCAGGTGGCTATGACGAACGCTTCGCCGTCTTCGTAGGTTAGAGGATATAGTTTGGTCGGCTTAGAGTTGAATCAGACTAACTACACTAATACAAAATTTTTCATGATGCCAAATCTATGCTGCGATATCATACTGGGACATTATTTCTTCAAACAACATTCTAGTATTAATCTCCCTTTTGGGGGTCCTAAAACGGCGTTGGACCTCTGTGACTTGGCTGCTATAAATGTACAATGTCACCAAATCTCAAAAATATTCTTTTGAAAACAAAACGTTTATTCAAGCAGAAATAAGAATAAGAGAAAGAATAATCGAACAAAGCAGATCACCATTGATGGCACAAGTATTAATAACGTCTTCTGATGATATTACAAAATGGATGGTCATAGACTACTAACCAAACTATAAATAGGTACACTCTCATGGATGCATGTCCGAAACCCCGTATTGGCGTGATGATAAACGAGATTGCCAAATACAGAATATTTAGCCCGTTAAACCTAAGGAGTACTTACCACGAATTACCTATGACCCCTAAAGATAAGCTTTATACGGCTTTTGAAGCCTGCAGACGACTTTATCAATTCCGAGGGATTCCGTTTGGGGTCATTAACGGGGTTTCTAGTTTTAAGAGGGTCCTCAATAAAACAATTTTTGAAGAAAAACAATAAGGCATCTTTTCGTACATAGATAATGTGACAGTGTGCGGCTATCACTGGGCCAACCACAACCTAAAACGTTTATTGGCGACTGTCAAGAAATATTTACACTCAACTATGACAAGAGTTCATATCGGTCGACAACCATCAGGCTACTTGGATATATTACGGATAAAGGAATCCTGAAGTCGGGCTAAAATCACTGCTAAAATTATCTATTCCCAACATCATAGCCGCCTTGTGACAAACCATGGATACATTCGCTCATTATTCTCAATGAACATTGTCAAAGTTTGAACGCAGACATTCAGCTGTCGAGAAGGAGGCTTATACCATAGTCGAGGTGCTAAAAAAGGCGACATTTCTTAATTGGTCACTGCTTTAAAATAATCATTGACCAAAAGTCAGTCTCTTTGTCAAAGATGTCAAAATAAAATAAAAAAATGAAAAGATAGCGAAATAGAGGGTAGGGCTTTCCTGTTTTTCGTTTGACGTTTTCTATCGGTCGGAAAAGGAAAATGCATCAGTGGACGCGCTGTCACAAGTGTGTGTGAATCAATAAACAGTATCAAAGATCTACAAAAAGTTCATAACAATCTGTCATCCAAGCATCACATGGATGATTCATGTGGTTTGAAAACAGAATTTGCCTTTTTCAGTTGAGGACGTGAAACGAATAACAAACGGTTGTCAGATTTCCGCTTGAATAAAAGCAAAATTCTACAAACCTGAATCGGAAAGCCTAGTAAAAGCTACACAGCCATTTGAAAGGCTGCGCGTGAATTTTAAAAGGCCTTCTTCCATCTAAATCCCGAAACTACTAATGGTCGTTGACGAGTACTCACGATTCCCTTTTGCCTTTTTCTGTCCCGATATAAGTGCAACAACGGTCACACGCTGTCTTTGTTCACTGTTCTCAATATTAGATCTCCCTCCCTTCTTGGCTCTAGCACCCAGGCAGTGGCGTAGCTAGGGGGGGGGCGAGGGGGCGGATTTATGACGCCCCAGTTTGCCCCGTGAAAATGGCATTACTCTCCCATCTAGCAGTATGTGCAGTAACAAGGGTTTTTGTACAGTTAGGCATGCTTCCGCCAATAGCAAGCCGTGTGTTGATTGGTCAAACTGGAGGAGGCTATTTGTCTGGGTAACTGAGAATAAAAGCAAAGAACGCTGATTGGTTGGTCGACCGCAGTGTTGGGCTGAAGCAGCGAAAAGGGGAAAATAAAGGACGGATATACGCTGTGACGTGTTCAGAAAGCAAGGATGGTAAATTGAACCAGCGGTAGCTTGATTTGTACAAGTGACGTCGTAGCAATACAGACTTATTTAAACTACAGAAACCCAGCCAACTTGACAGGTCAGGGCTACACCAACTAATACTCATATTCAAGAGAGACTGAGTACCCATTAAAACATTTGTTGCACTTTGCAAATAAGTGTACAAACTGGTATCTTCATAGCCATGTCTAAGTCGAGATCTCTTTGAACCAAGTGACCTTCAGCCATCGCCTTCTAAAGCCTATAAAATTGGATAGAGATGATATTTTATTCCGGTATATATTTGGGGTATTGGATTTACTTATAAAGTCCTCCAAAAATTGATATAGTTATAGGCGCTAGAGCTTGTCATAACCAGCCAATTGATCAGATCGAGTCTCTCCGACCGCCCGTCTAGTCCAAGTAAGGGGCAAAATAGTGTGTTAGAAATCAGAACTAACTAACCCTGACTCCTGAAGCCCTCAACTAACAACCATCTGTCCCCAGCCATTACAGGTTGCCACCCACAGCAAGCAGGTGACCTCATTGATGGGTGCGGGGAGGCAGGTCTGCAGGCAGCATATTTTGAAGCCCCAGCTGACAGGGCGGTAAAAAGTAGTATTAAAACTTAAATTTCAGTTTTAAACCATAAACTAAATGATAAAAATTTTGTATAAATTATATATATATATATATATATATATATATATATATATACACACACACACACATACACACAACAGTTTGAAGCTACCCCATGAATTAGAATGGAATGAACTTGACAGAAGATTGAAAAAAAATGAAAAAGAACTAGAAGTAATTTTTTTGTCGTGTGTGGATAAAATAAGAGATAATTTGCCCCGTCATATATTCGCGTGGAATAAACCTCAATGTATTCGCTGCAAATCGAGTCGTCATTACTCTCCATGTTGGAAAAGTCGGCATTTGAAATGGTTGAAGAAACTTTCAGCTGAACCTGACACGTTTTCTTTCAATTTCTGTGATTACGAATTATCCGTTACATCACCCTCACATCCAACTTTACAGTACCTGATATTTCGAAGAGGTCACCCATCTAGGTACTGACCAGGATCGACGTTGCTTAACTTCGGTGATCGTACAAGAATCAGTGTTTGAACGTGATACTGCACGTAATCCCATGGACACGAGAATGAGCACCATTTACCATCTGAACTGAATTATGGGTTGGAATTTCTAAATGGTTACCAAATACGACTGAAATCACTGAAGGATCCTCGAGGGTACAATGGCGGAATTTGTCTGACAATAACGACCTATACTACAGTCCAAAAGTTTGAAGCCACCCCCTAAAATTAGTATGGAATGAGTTTGACAGAAGAAGGGAAAAAACGAAAAAGATCTTTTAGTGTAATTGAAAAAGGACTGGAATCAATTATCAAACTTATCCTTTGAGAAACTTTTGCAATGAATGCCAACAATTTGTGCTGCAGTAATCAAGGCTAAAGGAGGATATTTTGACGAGAGCAAAATTTAATCATAAAATGCTCTTTTTTTTGTTGTGAGTGCCTGTTTGTGTGTGGGCGGAATTTTTTTTTTTTTTTTTTTAATCCAACATATTTTTATTAAATTTTTAGTAGACACTAGTATTTGAGTACCCTTTTGGTTTATTTATTAAACAGTATGTATATTTATTTTTTCATCTCCCAGGCTGAATATTCAAGAAATCTTATGAAGCTCATATTTTTCTCTAATAAGATTTCTCGAATATTCAGGCTGGTAAAACAGAAATAAATGAATATACTCTTTAATAAATAAATGGAGTATCTACTCAAATACTAGTATCCACTAAAAATAACATTCAAGTAATAAAAATATATAATTTATATGATAATTATTAGTTTACAAAATGTTATAAAAAATTATGGTATATTAATATTATTAGGTTTTCACATGCTATGCTAACATGAAGTATTTGGGGGGACCAGTTTATTACTTAATAGTAATAGAAAATTGACCCCCACTATTTTATGTTCAGTATTAGTATTTTATGTTAATATTAGTATATACTCATTGTGCAAAAAATGACAGTATGCTTCTTTTTTTTTTAAGTCCTTATTATTAAGGTTTTTTGGTTTTATTATATGTGAGATCCACTGTTTTATTTTTCCAGTTATTATATTAAAACACAATTCTTTGGGTGGTCAGTTTAAAAATTTGAGAAACCTGACAAAATACTTGTTACAAAATAAAATCCTTGCATTTGCCTTGATAAAGTCCATCAAAAAATGTAATAAGTTTTCCTTTTGTTCATATGTATGATGAATAAATTTAAAACTCTTATAATAGGTCACCATAAAAGTAATATTATTTAATTATTATTAAAAATAAAAAATAACCTAAATAATAATTATGTAAAATGAAAATATAATCATGTAGGAAATTTTATTTTAAGCTGTCTTATAGATTTATTTTCATATTATTGCTGTTTTTTATGGTGGTGAGATCAAAGAAAATCTTTTTCCACGCCCCCCACCCCACCCCAACTTGTTTGGAAGATTTTAATGTTTACAGTTATCAGTTTCTGTTTTAACAATGATGTCTTTTTAATAATGTCTTCATTTTTTTATTGCAGCTGTAGTCAATTTCCTCATAGATAAAGAGAAGATTAGAGGCAAAAGAGATATGCTTCTACAGAAGGATACTGAGAATACTATGGACAGAGCATATAAGCAATGAGGAGGTTTTAAGGAAAAAAGAAACAAAATGATGCTTATATTTAAAATCCAAGAGACATGATTTGGTTTATTTTGTTTTACAATAAATCAAAATCAAGGGATTTAATGCTGACAAGATTTTTTTTTTTTTTTTTACAATAGATTTGTATGAATAGAATAGGTATTTGTGAGAGATAAGGTTTCATTGAAATAGTCTTTTTTTTCTGAGAATCACATGGACTGCTAGTAATTTTTTTTTTTTTTTTTTCAAAAATGTATTGGTGGTATTTTTACACTATTTACATTATTTGGACTATTGTCCTCATCTTTGTAGTCATATTTATTATGTTTTGGCCGTTGTATGCTCCAGACTTCTTCAGGTGGTTGGAATGTCGAACTGAACTCTTTATTTCGCTCACTGGGGTAGACTGTTCTAGTTCCATGTTTAATGGATGTCAGTTATCGGTTATCTCCTGTTAATTCCCCTCTCCAAGTTCTCCACGGGTGGTAAAAAGACGAGTATTACTAAGAGCTACAAAGGATACCATGTTCTGAAGACACACATCATATAATAGAAGAGGTCATTTTCTTGTAAGGTTTCCATTATTATAATACATATTTTCCTTTAGATCATTGCATTATAACTTAAGTTCCTAATAATATCAGTTTGATTAAATAATATTGTAATATATAGTTTAAAGGTTGGTGTTCATTGTATTAGTGGTAGGACCTTCAAAATACAATTTAAACATAGCAATCCCCTGGTATTTCCCAAGCTGTCTGCTTATACTTTTAAACATATTTATTGTCAAAAGAAAATAATAAAATATCACATAACCTGATTACGTGCTTTGCTTTCAGTGGACCACATGTAACATCAATATGTTACATTGACATTTACTATCATGAAATTCTCAGGTCATGCCACACTGTTAAATATATGACAAATGTAACTCACACTTGTTTGTTCAGTGTTCATTTTGTTCTATTCCTGATATTCGTATTATAATGGTATTTTTTTATCAGGAAAATATGACATAACCTATATGTTTTCTTTCGCTTCAATCAATATGCTGTATATTATCTATTTATTTTTACATGTGGACAAGTTCATTATGTGGAAATCAGAGCTGAAAGCACCATCTTTGATTCTTGTAAAGAAAGCATCATTTCGTAGCGCTGTCTGCCATCTTGGTTTCTTAATTAGTTCTACCAGTGTTCCTGCAATTAGCTCTATTTTGTTATTTTGGTAATCGTTTTTCTGCATCATCATCTTTTCAATGTCTAGCCTTTTGGGCTGGGATATTTTCTTTCAAGACTGCATTGAAAGTGATGAACAATCAGCATAAAATAAATATAAAAATTTTTCTTACCTCTTCTATAAATAATATAAGAATGACAAGCATGATATTTTGGTTAGCAAGCTCAGCATATTTCCATAGTTTGTGTTTGATTCATATTAAATGCTCCATTATTGTAGCCTTGTGCCAGTCTAAGGAAGGCATAATTTGTATTTAGTCATCCAGCAGTCCATTATTACTGTGGAGTAAGTTTGATCCTCATTGGATCAACCCTTTCATGGCCTTGTGCCAGACGACAGAAGGCTTACTTAGTATTTAGGCACTTAGCCATCGGGTAATGGTTAGTGAGCATGTCCAGCAGTTCATATTTACTGTGTAGTTTGATCCTCACCGGGTGACTCATTCATAGTCTTGTGCCAGACTTGTAATGAATTTTATTCTCATGAATTTCAAAAATCATTTTATTGGATTAATACCTGAAGAGAACAATGTTTTTTATAGATATACTCTTTAACTTAATTTTTTTTTGTGACCTGTACCAAAAAATATTATCCAAGAATTTAGAATAATTCTCTGTATTTATCATTAATTTTGATAAAAGAAGAGAACCCCCTACATCGTGGATACGTGGGTGGTGTAATGAAAAGCAGCTCGGGATGAGAAAGAAGAAAGACAAGTTCGAATTCAATATCAGTTTATTATATTTCCTCTCTCACAAATACCCCCCCTTGGCAAATGTGTAAATCCATCTTTTCTCCTCACCACCATCTCCAACCAGCTATGATTTAAATACCAGTACAGACTGGACTCTTTTAGCCATGATTGCTAACCTGACTAGGAAAACAACTCTGAATTCAAAACTGCTTGGGTATTGAGTTAGCTAGCAACTTAAATTCTTCACGCCAAGGGTCAATTGTTATCTGTCCTCCATATGCACATAATCCTCCCTTTCTACTTTTATATTCATCTCACACCCCTCATTCAGCAACACTTTACATTGAGTGGCTCTTGAGCCTTCTACTGGGTGAACATTAGTAAAAGAAAAATCACTTAATAGTCAAATATTAGTGTTCAATAGGTTAACAGCTAAACTTCGGTATTTATCATTTCACCCACGGGAAACGAATATGGCACAAGGCCGGTTTTATTGTGGGTTTCTCCGAGCCCGTAGGCTCGGCCAAAAAAATAGCCTTTTGAAGCCGATTAGATGGGTTCAGGCCCTGTCTACCTCCCCGGACGAAACCTTGCCCTTCGGCAAAGCCTCGTCCGGGTTCCTCTCTGCTAACGCAGAGAGTTCGACAGACGTCGGAAGTCAGCTAAAAAACTTCTCCTTTAACAGCTAAACTTCATTAACATACTCTTTTTCAAAATATACGATCTAAATGGTAATGTTAGCTGTTTCCTTATAAGGAAACATTCCGTATTCATTGACTGAACAGTCAGTGCTGCTGCTAGTTGAAATTTATTCAGAACAGATTTCTTAGGTCCACTGTTATCCCTCTTCCCAGTACTTGTGGTGGTTTCTATCCTAATCTTTTTTGAGACAGTCAACATTTTGATTATGTGATTAGTTTCTCTTTTACTTACATATGCTATCCATTTTAGTTGTTGCTGATGCTGGAAGTCTTTCAAGTGACGTAGTTTCTGTTATTTGGTCCAGTTCTTTATGATCCTCTATGCTATACATATATAAAAGCTCAAAGGGTTATCACTTTACAATTAAACTCAGTATGCCCAGTTAGTTTGGATTTAGAGTTTTACTTCTATTTAACCCATAGCTGGTGGGAGAAAAGGTGGATCTATGCCTTTCCCAAGGGCATCAGTAAAAACTGAATCAAACAGTTTTTACTGGAATAGGAACTCAGCTCAACCATTCCACTTCTGACACTCAGCTCAACCATTCCACTTCTGACACTCAGCTCAACCATTCCACTTCTGACACTCAGCTCAACCATTCCACTTCTGACACTCAGCTCAACCATTCCACTTCTGACACTCAGCTCAACCATTCCACTTCTGACACTTGACCTCAGCTCAACCATTCCACTTCTGACACTCAGCTCAACCATTCCACTTCTGACACTCAGCTCAACCATTCCACTTCTGACACTCAGCTCAACCATTCCACTTCTGACACTCAG